AGGCACGATAACAACAACGTATATATTCTGTATGTGCGTCTTTTACTACAAAAGGCATACATAAGTAATTCTAAGGACCATAGTGTTTATCACGCTGCGCTGACCATGCAACGGTTGCACGAAAAGGCGAAAGTTTCGAACGCTTTACTAAAACGACATGGTGGTGGCACCTACCCGTCGCCTTGCGTTCTACACCTAATCACCTCGGAGACGGGTGCGCACGGAAGCTTCAGAGCCACGCGCTTCGTTTTCGAAGAAAACTGCCAGATATCGCTCCTGTCTCACGTGTGACGTGACTTGATGTGCTCGTTAGCCTCCGATGTATGCTTGAGGCACTCTAACGCAGCGCCTCCAGAATACCATTCACCAATTTTCTTGCGCAGAACAGCAAATAAATGTTCTTGTTCACTCTCTCCACACGTAAGACCATCGTCTTTCGACGACATTTGCAGAATAACATGCAGATGTGGTGACAAAGTCTTTTATTATTTTTTGTGCCTCGAATGAGCCAAGCGATAGTGATGTATGAGCGCATATATGTCTTTATGTTCTAGTTCATGTAGTGCAGCGGCAAACATTCCCATACACACAAGTGCTCTATGAGTTATGTCTTCCTCTTTTTTCTCTGAGAATAAGATGTTCTCGCCAGTATATGGGTACGCTACATTACAGCCCCACAAGTAGCGTCAAGGCCCACTTTCTCAAGAGTTGACGAGGGCCTAATGTAAACTGTGAGCATGACACTTGCCGTTTCCGGCATTTCATTTCTCTGTGTTCTACACACATTTCAGCTCTTTCAATTGTGCCTGTATAGGTTAGTGCAGATCATGCCACTCCGAAACTTCGTAACCGAAGCCACCTTGTTTTTCTTCATGCCCACCACTTCTTGCTTGAGCTTGCGGACCTATATTTCATGCTCGCTCTTGTGATTCCAGAGCTTGGCATGCTCACGTTTGGCCGGTGTCATCTTCTTCGGCTCACCTTGAAGATTGTTCAGCTTGCGCTCAAAATCTTTCCGAGCATGGGGGGCATGTCCTCGTGGCACTTTTTCCGGGCTGTTTCCTTGGTGCGGTTTCGAGCCTCAAAGAAGCGGATACGGTTCCCCTGCTTACAGCTCACCTTGAGAATCTGTGCTATCTACCACTTGGACAGTTTTTCAGCCTCCTGATGGCGCCTGCTCTCTTCTTGCTTCTTGGTCACCAAAGCCACTTTGTTTTTATTTATGCCTGCCACTTCTTGCTTGAGCTTTCCGACCTATGTCTCGTACTCGCTCTCGTTCTTACTGAGCTTTGCATGCTCACGTCTGGTCGACTGCATTCTTCTTGTGTTTGTGTTGAAAATGGTTCAGCTAGCAGTAAAAGTCTGTCTGAGCAGGGTGGCCATCTTTTCGTGGCACCGCTTCAGGACCGTTTCCTTAGGGCGGTTCTGTGCCTAAATGAAGCGGTTATGGTTCCCCTATTGACAGCTCACTTTTAGCAGATGTATTATTTGCTGCTTCCATCATTTTCAAGCCTACTGATTATGCCTGGTCACTTTTTTCATCTTCGTCACCAAAGCCACCTTGGTTTTCTTCATGCCCGCCACTTCTTGCTTGAGCTTGTGCACCTATATCTCGTATTTGCACTGGTTGTTCCAGAGCTTGGCATGCTCACGTTTGACTGGCCTCGTCTTCTTCGGCCCACCTTGAAGGAGTTTCAGCTCGCACTCAGTCTCTCCAAGCATGGTGGCCATACCTTCGGGGCACCGCTTCTGGACTGTTCTCTTTATGTGGTTCTGGGCCTCAAGCGAGTGGATACGGTACAATTGCTGACAGCTTACCTTCAGTATCTGTGCTATCATTCGCTAGCACCCCTCCTCAGTCACCTGATGGCACCTGCTCTCCGTTTCCAACTTCGTTACTAAAGACACCTTGTTTTTCTTCATGCCAATCACTTCTTGCTTGAGCTTGGGGACCTATGTCTCGTACGTGCTCTGGTTCTTACTGAGCTCTAAATGCTTACGTCTCGGTGACTGCATTTTATTGTGTTTGCCTTCAAGATGGTTCAGCTAGCAGTCAAAGTCTGTCTGCGAAGGGTGGCCATCTTGTCGTGGCGCCGTTTCAAGAGCGTTGCCTTGGTGCGGTTCTGCACTTCAAGAGAGCGGATACTGTTCCCCTGCCGACATCTTACCTCCTGCATATGCGCTATCTGCTGCTTGTACCTTTTCTCAGCCTCCTGATGGCGCCTGCTCTCTTCGTTCATCTTGGTCACCAAAGCCACTTTGTTTTTCTTCATGCCTGCCATTTCTTGCTTGAGCTTGCCGACCTGTATCTCGTACTCGCTCGGGTTCTTCATAAACTTGGCATGCTCACGCCTCTGGCCGACTGCATCTTCTTGGGCTCGCCTTGAAAATGATTCAGCTTGCACTCAAAGTCTGTCTGCGAAGGGTGGCCATCTCCTCGTGGCGCCACTTCAGGACCATTTTCATGATGCGGTTCTGTGTCTCAAGGCAGCGGATACAATCGCCTGCTGCCAGCTCCCCTTTATTCCCCTTTATCATTTGCGCTATCTGCCGGTTGTATCACTTCTCAGCCTCTTGATGGCGTCTGCGCTCTTCTTTTATCTTGGCCTCCAAAGCCACCTTAATTTTCTACATGCCCGCCACTTGAGCTTGCGGACCTGTATCTTGTACTTGCTCGGGTTCTTCGTAAGCTTGGCATGCTCATTTCTGGCTGACTGCACCTTCTTGGGCTCACCTTGAAGATGGTTCAGCATGCACTTAAAATCTCTCTGTACAGGGTGCCATTTCCTCGTGGCGCCGCTTCAGAACCTACTTTCCTTGTTGTGGTTCTAGGCCTCTGGGGAGTGGATACAGGTCCCCTGCCGACAGCCCACCTTGAGCATCTGCGCTGTCTTCCGGATGCACCGCTTCTCTGCCTCCACATGGCGCCTGGTCTCTTCTTTCGTTTTTGTCACCAAAGCCACCTTGTTTTTCTTCATGCCCGCCACTTATTGCTTGAGCTTGCAGTCCTGTATCTCGTACTCGCTCGGGTTCTTCGTGAGCTTAGCATGCTCTCGTCTAGCCTACTGAATCTGCTTGAGTTCCTAGAAGACGGTTAAGCTAGCAGTCAAAGTCTGTCACCTCCGGGTGGCCATCTCTTCGTGGCACTGCTTCAGGACCGTTTTCTTGGTGCGCTTCCTGGCCTCAATGGTATAGTTACAGTTCCCATGCTGACAGCTAAACTTTAGCATGTGTGTTATCTGCTGCTTCCATCACTTCTAAGCATAAGATTGCGCCTGCTCTCTTCTTTCATCCTAGTCACCGAAGCCACATTGTTTTTCTTCGTGCCCGCCAATTCTTGCTTGAGCTTGCGGACCTATATTTCATACTAGCTCTTGTTATTCCAGAGCTTGGCATACTCACGTTCGGCCCGCCTCATCTTCGTCGGCTCACCGGCTCACCTGGAAGATTGTACAGCTTGCAGCGAAAGTCTGTCCGAGCATGGTGGCCATCTCCTCGTGGCGCTGCTTCGGGACTATTCTCTTGGTGCGGTTTTGGGCATCAAGGAAGTGGATACGGTTTCCTTGCTGACAGCTCACCTTCAGCATCTGTTCTATTTGCTGCTAGCTCCGCTTGTCAGCCTCCTGATGGCAACTGCTCTCTTCTTCCATCTTGGTCAGCAAAGCCACCTTGCTTTTCTTGGTGCTCGCCACTTCTCGCTGGAGGTTGTGTACCTATGTCTGGTACTCGCTCAGATTCTTCCTGAGATTAGCATGCTCACGTCTGGCCGACTGCATCATCTTGCGTTTGCATTGTAGTTCAGCTAGCAGTCAAAACCTGTCTGCGCAGGGTGGCTATTCCCCATTGGCTACGGTTCAGGACTTTTTCCTTGGTGCGGTTCTGGGCCTCAAGGGAGTGAATATGGTTCTCGTGTAGACAGCCCAACTTGGGCATCTGCGCTCTCTTCCGGTTGCACTGCTTCTCAGCCTCCAGATGGCGCCTGCTCTCTTCTTTCGTTTTCGTCACCAAAATCGTCTAGTTTTTCTCATGCTCGCCACTTCTTGCTTGAGCTTGCGGACCTATATCTCATAATCGCTCTGGTTCTTTCAAAGCTTGGCATGCTCACGTTAGGCTGGGTTCGTCTTCTTCGGCTCAACTTGAAGATTGTTCAGCTTGCACTCAATCTGTCGGAGCATGGTGGACATCTCTTCTTGGCGCCACTTCAGGACTGTTTCCTTGGTGCGGTTCTAGGCATCAAGGGAGCGATTACGGTTCCATTGCTGACAGCGTACCTTCAGTATGTGTGCTATCTGCCGCTAGCACCACTTCTCAGCTTCCTGATGGCACCTGCTCCCTTCTTCCATATTGCTTACCAAAGACACCTTGTTTTTCTTCATGCGCGTCACTTTTTGCTTGAGCTTGGGGACCTATGTCTCGTACTCGCTCTGGTTCTTACTTAGCTTGGCATGCTTTCGTCTGGGCGACTGCTTTTTCTTGTGTTTGCCTTGAAGATTGTTCAACTAGCAGTCAAAGTCTGTCTGCGATGGGTGGCTATCTCATCGTGGCGCCATTCCAGTACCGTTTCGTTGTTGCGGTTCTGGGCCTCAAGGGAGCGGTAACAGTTCCCCTGCCGACCGCCCACCTTGAGCTACTGCGCTATCTTCAGGTTGCACTGCTTCTCAGCCTCCTGATGGCGCCTGCTCTCTTCTTTTATCTTGGTCACCAAAGCCACCTCGCTTTTCCTAATGTCCGTCACTTCTTCCTTGAGCTTGAGGAAATATGTCTTGTACTGGCTTTGGTTTTTACTGAGCTTGGCATGCCAACGTCTGGCCGACTGCATCTTCTTGCGTTTGCATTAAAGATGGTTCAGCTAGCAGTCAAAGTCTGTCACCTCAGGGTGGCCATCCTTTCGTGGCACTGCTTCAGGACCATTTTCTTGGTGCGCTTCTGGGCCTAAGGAAGGGGATACGGTTCCCCTGCTGACAGCTCAGCTCGAGCATCAGCGCTATCTTCTGGTTCCATCACTTCTCAGCCTCTTCATGGCGACTGCTCTCTTCTTTCATCTTGGCCGCCAAAGTCACCTTGTTTTTCTTCATTCCCGCCACTTCTTGCTTGAGCTGGCGGAAATGTATCTTGTACTTGCTCGGGTTCTTCGTAAGCTTGGCATGTTCACGTCTGGTTGACTGCATCTTTTTGGGCTTGCCTTGAAGATGGTTCAGCTTGCACTTAATGTCTGTCTGCGAATAGTGGCCATCTCCTCGTGGCGCTGCTTCAAGACTGTTTCCTTTGTGCGGTTCTGAGCCCTAAGGGAGACGATACGGTTCTCCTTCTGACAGGCTACATTCAGTATCTCTGCTTTTTCCTGCTAGAACCGCTTCTAAGCTTCCTGATGGCACCTGCTCTATTCTTCCATTTTGGTGAGCAAAGCCATCTTGTTTTTTTTCACGCCCGCCACTTCTCGCTTGATATTGCGGACCTATTATCGCACTTGCTCTCATTGTTCCTGAGATTAGCATGCTCACGTCTGGCCGGCTGTATCTTCTTGTTTGTGTCTTGAAGATGGTCCAGCTGGCAGTCAAAGTCTGTCTGCGCAGGGTGACCAACTCTTCGTGGCACCGCTTGTGTACCGTTTCCTTAGGGCCGTACTGGGCCTAAATGGAGCGGTTATGGTTTCCGTACTGACAGCTCAACTTTAGCATTTGTGCTATCTGCTGCTTCCATCACTTCTAAGCATAAAATTTCGCCTGCTCTCTTCTTTTACCTTCGTCATCGAAGCCACCTTTTTTTCTTCATGCCCGCCGCATCTTGCTTGAGCTTGCGGAGCTATATTCTATACTCGCTTTGGTTATTCCAGAGCTTGTCATGCTCACGTTTGGTTGGACTCATCTTCTTCGGCTCACCTTGAAGATTTTTCAGCTTGCGCACAATATCTGTTGAGCATGGTGCGCATCCCCTCGAAGCACTGCTTCAGGACTGTTTCCTTGGTGCTTCCAGACCTGTATCTCGTACTCGCTCGGGTTCTTCGTGACTTTGGCATGCTCACGTCTGGCCAACTGCATCTTCTTGGGCTCACTTTGAAAATGATTCAGCTTGCATTTAAAGTCTCTCTGCGAAGGGTGGCCATCTCCACGTGGCGCCACTTTAAAATGGTTTCCTTGGGACGGTTCTGGGCCTCAAGGGAGCGGATACGGTTCCATTGCTGACAGCTTACATACAGTATGTGTGCTATCTGCCGCTAGCACCGCTTCTCAGCTTCCTGATGGCACCTGTTTTGTTCCTCCATGTTGTTTACCAAAGACACCTTTTTTCCCTTATGCCTGTCAATTCTTGCTTGAGCTTGGGGACCTGTCTCGTCCTCGCTCTGGTTTTTACTGAGCTTGGCATGCTTACGTCTGGGCGACTGCATTTTCGTGTGTTCGCCTTGAAGATGGTTCAACTAGCAGTCAAAGTCTGTCTGGGAGGGATGGCCATCTTGTCATGGCGCCGCTCCAATGCCGTTTCCTTGGTGCAGTTCTGAGCTTCAATAGAGTGTTACAGTTTCCCTGCTGACAGCCTACCTTGAGTCTCTGCGCTATCTTCAAGTTGCACCGCTTCTCAGCCTTCTTCTGGCACCTGCTCTCTTCTTTCATTTTTGTCGTCAAAGCTTGAGCTTACGGACCTGTATCTCGTACACGCTCGGGTTCTTCCCAAGCTTGGCATGCTCACGTCTGGGAGACTGCATCTTGTTTAGTTTGCCTTGAAGATGGTAAAGCTATCAGTCACTCTGTCGGCTCAGAGTGGCCATTTCATCGTGGTACTTCTCTTGAACCGCTTTCTTGATGTGCTTCTGTGCCTCAATGAAGTGGTTACGGTTCCCAGCTGACAGCTCACCTTTAGCATATGCGCTATGTGCTGCTTCCATCACTTCTAAGTCAAAGATTGTGCCAGCTCTCTTCTTTCATCTTCGTCACCAAATCCACCTTGTTTTTCTTCATGCCCACCACTTCTTGCTTGAGAATGCGGACTTATATATCGTACTCGCTCCGGTTCTCTCCTGAGCCTGGCATGCTCATGTTTGGCCGGCCTCATTTTCTTCGGCTCACCTTGAAGATTGTTCAAATTCAACTCCAAGTCTGCCCAACCATGGTGACCATCTCCTCGTGGCGCTGCAGCAGGAGTGCTTCTTTAGTGTGGCTAAGGGCCTCAAGGGAGCGGATACGATTAACCTGCTGACAGTTCACCTTTACCATTTGCGCTAGCTCTCTGTTCTATGAGTTCTCAACCTGCTCATGGCGCCTGTTCTCTTTTTTATCTTGGTCACCAAAGACACCTTGTTTTTATTCATCCCTGCCTCTTCTTGCTTGAGCTTGCGGACCTATGTCTCGTACTCATCCTGGTTCTTACTGAGCTTGGCATGCTGACGTCTGGCCTCCTGCACCTTCAGGGGCTCGCCTTGAAGATGGTTCAGCTCGCACTCAATGTCTCTCTGCGCAGGGTGGCGATCTCCTCGTGGCGCCTCTTCAGGACCATTTTCTTGGTGCGGTTCAGTGCCTCAAGGCAGCGGATACGATTCCCCTGCTGCCAGCTCGCCTTTAGCATCTGCGTTATCAGCCGGCTTCACTTCTCAGCCTCTTGATGGCGCCTGCTCTTTTTTTTTATCTTGGCCTTCAAAGCCACCTTGTTTTTCTACATGGCCACCACTTCTTGCTTGAGCTTGTGGACCTGTATCTCGTATTTTCTCGGGTTCTTCGTAACCTTGGCATGCTCATTTCTGGTTGACCACACTCTCTTGTGCTCACCTTGAAGATGGTTCAGCATGCACTTAAAGTCTGTCTGTGCCGGGTGCCATTTCCTTGTAGCGCCACTTCAGGACCGATTTTTCTTGCTGTGGTTCTCGGCTTCAAGGGAGTGGATATAGTTCCCCTGCTGATAGCCCACCTTGAGCATCTGTGCTGTCTTGCGGATGCACCGATTCTCAGCCTCCTGATGGCACCTGCTCTCTTCTTTCTTCTTGGCCACCAAAGCCACCTTGTTTTTCTTCATGCCCGCCACTTCTTGCTTGATCTTGCAGACCTGAATCTCGTACTCGCTCGGGTTCTTCGTAAGTTTGGCATGCTCACGTCTACCCGACTGCATCCTCATGGCCTCGCCATGAAGATGGTTCAGCTTGCACTCAAGTTGTGTCTGCGCAAAGTGGCCATTTCCTCGTTGCGCTGCTTCAGGACCATTTCCTTATGCTCTTGTTGGCCTCAAGGCAGCGGATACGATTCCCGTGCTGACAGTTCTTCTTTAGCATCTTCGGTATCTGCTTCTTTCATCACTTCTAAGCCTAAGATTGTGCCTGCTCTCTTTTTTCATCTTCGTCACCAAAGCCACCTTGATTTTATTCATGCCTGCCACTTCTTGCTTGATCTTGCGGACCTATGTCTCGTACTCGCTCTGGTTCTTACTGAGCTTGATATGCTCAGGTCTGGCCAACTGCATCTGCAGGAGCTCACCTTGAACATGGTTCAGCTTGCACTCAAAGTCTGTCTGCACAGGGTGGCCGTCTCCTCGTGGCGTCGCTTCAGGACCATTTCTTTGGTGCGGTTCTGGGCCTCAAGGCAGCGGATACTATTCCCCTACTGACAGCTCGCTTTTAGCATCTGCGATATCTGCCGGTTTCCTCAATTTTGGGCCTCTTAATGGCACCTGCTCACTTCCTTTATCTTGGCCGGCAAAGTCACCTTCTTTTTTTTTCATGCCCACCACTTGTTGCTTTAGCTTGCGGACCTTATGTCGTACTCGCTCTGGTTTTTCGTGAACTTGGCTTGCTCAATTCTGACCGACTGCATCTTGTTGCGTTTTCCTTGAAGATGGTCCAGGTAGCAGTCAATGTCTGTCTATGCAGTGTAGCCTTCTAATGGTGGTGCCACTTCAGTACGTTTTCTTGGTGTGGTTCTGAGCCTCAAGGGAGTGGATATGGTTCCCCTGCTGACAGCTCACCTTTAGCCTTTGCGCTATATTCCGGTTCCATCGTTTTTCAGCCTGCTGATGGCGCCTGTTCTCTTTTTTTATCTTCGTCACCAAAGGCACCTTGTTTTTCTTCCTGCCCACCACTTCTTGCTTGAGGTTGTGGACATGTATCTCGTACTCGTTCGGGTTCTTTCTAAGCTTGACATGCTCATATCTGGCTCACTACGTCCTCTTGGGCTCGCCTTGAAAATAGTTCAGCTTGCACTCGAAGTATGTTTCCGCAGGGTGGCCATCTCCTCGTAGTGCCGCTTCAGGACCGTTTCGTTGGTGCGGTTGTGGGCTTCAAGGGAGAGGATACGGTTCCCCTGCCGACAGCTCACCTTCAGCATCTGCACTATCTTCCGGTTGCAGTGTTTCTCAGCGTCCTGATGGCACCTGCTCTCTTCTTTCATCTTTGTCATCAAAGCCACCCTGTTTTTCTTCATGCCACCACTTCTTGCTTGAGCTTGCGGACCTGTATCTCGTACTCGCTCGGGTTCTTCGTGAGCTTGTCATGCTCACGTCTGGCTGACTGCATCTTCTTGCGCTTGCCTTGAAGGTGGTTCTTGCTTGAGCTTGCCACTTCTTGCTTGAGCTTGCGGACGTATATCTTGAAATCACTCCGGTGCTTCGTGAGCTTGACAAGGTAACATTTGGACCGCTGCATCTTCATAAGCTCGCTTTGAAGATGACTCAGCTTGCACTCAAAGTTTCTCTGGACAGTGCAGCCTTCTCTTCATAGTACCACTTTAGGGGCATTTCCTTAAAACGTTTCTGGTAGTCAAGGACGCGGTACGGCTCCCCTGCTGACAGCTCACTTGTTAATCAGCGCTAAGTGCTGGTTGCACCGCTTCTCAGTCTCCTGGTGGCACCTGCTCTCTTATTTCATCTTAGTAACCAAAGCCACCTTGTTTTTCTTCATGCCTGACACTTCTTGCTTGAGCTGGGGACCTGTATCTCGTACTTGCTCTGCTTCTCCACGACCTTCGCATGTTCACGTCTTCTCGACTGCACTTTCTTTGGCTCGCCTTGAAGATGATTAAGCTTGCACAAAAAGAGTGTCTACACAGGGTGGTTATATCCACGTGACACCGCTTCAGAATTGTTTTTATGTGACGGTGTCAGTTCTTAAGGAAATGGATACGGTGCCTCTGCTGACAGCTCTTCTTGAGCATCTGCGCTATCTGCCGGTTACCCCGCTTCTCAGCCTCCTGATGGCACCTACTCTCTTTCATCTTAGCCACCACAGCCACCTTGTTTTTCTTCATGCTCGACATTTCTTGCTTGAGCGTTGGACCTGTATCTCACACTTGCTCTGGTTCTCCATGAGCTTTGCATGCTCATGAATTCCCGACTGAATTTTCTTTATCTCGCCTCAAATATAATTCAGCTTGCGTTCAAAGTCTGTCTGTGCAGGGTGCCCATGTCTTCGTGGCGCCGCTTCAGGACCGTTTCCTTGGTGCGGTTCTGGTACTCAAGGGAGCGCACACGATTTCGCTGCTGACAGCTCACCTTTAGCATCTGTTCAGTCTCCCGGTGTCAGCGTTTCTAGCCTTCTGGGTGGTGCCTATTCTCTGCCTTAATCTTGTCACCAAAGCCACCTCTTTTTATTCATACCCGCCTCTCGCTCTAGCTTACGGGCTTGTATCTTGACCTCACTCTGGTTTTTCGTGAACTTCCCATGCTTACGTTTGGTGGGCTTCATCTTCTTGAGCTCGCCCTGAAGATGGTTCAGCTTGCACTGAAAATCTCTCTGACAGCACGGCCATCTCTTCGTAACACAGCTTCAGGACCATTTCCTCAGTGCTGTTCTCGGCGTCAAGGGAGCGGATACGGTTCCCCTGCTGACAGCTTACCTTCAGCATCTGCACTATCGGCCGGTTTCTAGGTTTCTTAGCCTCCTGATGGCACCTGTTCTCTTTTTCCTACTTGGTTTCCAAAGCCATTCCTTCATGCCCACCAGTTCTTGCTGGAGCTTGTGAACCTTTATCTCGTACTCACACTGGTTCTTCGTGAGTTTGGCATGCTCATATTTGATTGAATGCATTTTTTGAGCTGGCCTTGAAGATGCTTCAATTTGAGCTCGAAGTCTGTCGGTGCAGGTTGGCTATCTCCTCGTAACGTCCCTTTAGGACCGTTTCCTTAGTATGGTAATGGGCGTCAAGTGAGCGGATTCGGTTCCCCTGCTGACGGCTCATTTTAGGCATCTGTGCTCTCTACTGGTTGTACCACTTCTCAGCTTTGTGATGGCACCTGTTCTCTTTTATCTTAGCCACCAAAGCCACCTTTTTTTTCTTCATGTCCACCACTTCTTCCTTGCGCTTGCGGACTTGCATGTCGTACTTGTTCTGGTTCTACGTGATCTTGGCATGCTCAAGTTTAGCCAACTGCTTCTTGAACTTCCTTGAAGATAGTTCAGTTTGCGTTCAAAGTTTGTCTTGATATTTCGTACTTTATTGTCCGTATTCTTCAATGCGCCAGCAGAGGTCATTTTTGAGCAAATGCCACCAACTCAATCTCCATCACTCGATTTTTCTTCTGAAGCTGCATCAGCGTGTTTTCCTACTGCATGCGCATAGTTTTTCGCCTTTGCTGACACTGCTCAAGTTCACCTATCAGCATCTGCCTGAAGGAAATAAGTGTGGAGAGTGTGGACAGATCTTTGCCAATTCTTTTGTGTTCCTCCAGTTCCTCTGCGGCGGAGTCGGAGCTTTTGTTCCTGTAGTTTTCGGCGGTTTCAAGTCAGCATCCGTTTTTTTGCACTTTTGTCGCCTTATTTGTTCCCTTTGATCGCAAGTGCTTCGTGTCCACTTGAGGTTTTCAACGTCGCGCGTGGCCTCGGCAAGTATGACTTCTACGCTGGTTTTCTGAACGCTGCAGCTGATGTAAATTCCACTCACTGCAACTGTCGAGTTGGAACTTGGGACCCATGCTCGTGCTTGTCTGGTAGCTCTGGAAAGGCTTTCAAAGCTGGGCACACAACTTTTCAGACTCCAAGACCTTGGTGCTGAACTTTTCATTGACCTTCAGGTATCTCTTCATGAGGTTCTTGGCGCCTTCGCCGGAGTCACCATAGTCAGTCCACCCCCAGTTGCTTGTACATCCAGGGGTTCCTTGTTTTTGACAGTTAGGTGCTCTATGGTTTCTTGGAGGGCCTGGATATGGGTGAGAATGTAGTTGCCCTCCGTCTAAACTTCGTGTTCTCGTAGAGCATGTCGTTCACTTGCTGCAAGCTATTGTAGTGCCATCAACATCATCATCATCATCATCATTATCATGCCCTGACCACCACGCTGCGCCTCACGCAAAGCTGATTCTAGCTCAAGCTGTGCGAGGAAGGAACGGCCTAGCTCCTGGCCTGGCTGGTACGCTGTAGCGGTGAGTCCGCCTACGCCTGCGTCGAATAAAATTGTGACCTCGGCACGAGCTCGTCGCCGCCGTCTCGCCACCTCTCCTTCCTCTACATATTGATACGTGTGTATATGAAAAAGAACGACGATAGGAACGTTTTGTAGGTTCCAGCCAGTGGGAAAGGGGGTTTTTCGAGACGACAATAAAGCAGGTGTCTTGCTGTGCAGCTGATTCTGAACACGCTCTTTTCACTATCGTAAGTTGCTGTCATTCTTTGTTCGCGTTGAACTGCGACACTGGTGGAGGTGCTGGCCGCAACGCTTTCCTATTACTCACACCCCTAGTGGCAGCCATCCAGCCTACACGTGCCTATTGCAACCCCTGTCCATCGATTCAGTCGTTGGCTACGAGGTTTTCCTCCAGAGTTCAGCCCCTCACAGGAGCCCACTACAAGACATCTAGAAATGGCTAACACGAGCCCCCAGCTGTACTTCTCGTCACCGGTCCTCCCGATCCATGTCAGGTAATGTTTTTTTCCACCGCTGGAGCCTGAACGCTTTGGTGGCGGTGCACACGAAGACATAGAAGACTGGTTAGATCACTATGACCATGTTGTGAATATCAACCAGTGGTCTGTGCAGGAAAAGCTCTCCCGCGCCTACTTCTCTCTAGATGACAGCGCCCGTACATGTTACGAGAACAGCGAAGGCACCTGTCCACATAGACCGAATTCCACCAGCAGATGGTTGAAACCTTTGCCAATGCCGAGAGACGTGACCGCGCCCCCCAACTACTAGAGATAAGGGTCCAAAAACCCTATGAAATGGTCGCCTTGTCCACCGAAGACATGGCGCTTCTATTTCGGAGGGCTCACACGCAGATTACCGAAGATAGAAAGTTGCGCTAAAAATGTACATTTCCGCAAACTTGTGTGGTGCGAGGTGAAAGAGCAGCTGTTCGCCGGACTTTTGCGCAACCCGTTTAGCACTGAAGGGAACGTCATCGAAGAAGCGTCAGCTATCAAGCGGGCACTTCACCAACGCTGCCGACAATATGACCGCTTGTGCAGCAGCCCTCAAATTAATGCTGCCACTGTGACGTTTGAAAATGATAGCTCCTTGCGTGACATGATCAGAGAGATTGTTCGTGAAGAACTGCAGATGTTGCGGACTCTGGTAGTGGATACACCCATACCATCTGTCACTCGAGTCGTCCGCGACGAAATCTGCCAAGCATTCTCGATGGCTGATCCTGCCCACGAGCAACGTCCCGTGATGTACGCCGCCGCCCTTCGAAGCTCCCGACCAGTGCCGCCTTCATAATACCCGCCACCTGCAACTGTTCCTTGGTCACCACCACAGGAGGAGACACTGTGGTGCCCACCCATCCAGCCGCCATACGACCAGTCGTCTTCTGGCCTACCATGGCCTTCGTCACATGACGAGTCGTCACAGCATCCACAGCTTCGCCGAAAAGACACCTGGCGCACTGTCGACAGGCGTCCACTCTCTGTCAACTGCGAAGGTGTAGGCCTCATAGCCCGTTATTGCTGGCACCACGCCGACCCGTTTCGCCCTCTCCGGCCACGGTTTGACAGTCGACAGGCCGACGACTTGTATCCCGCCGTGGTGACGTTGGTTCTTAAGAACATCTGGTGCATCGACCCCCTTTTGACGGCCGCTGTAACAATGATGAGATAATAACTGATTACCAGCTGGGCTTCCGACATCAACCACGCTCTCCTTCCCATGCCCAGTCACCTTTGTCACAGTGCCACCCTTTTGCCGACACCAGAGAAGCGAGGTCACCCAGCCCACGCCGGGGAAACTTGAGTGGTGACCTCAAGGGGTAAGGTTGCAGGCTGTGAGGACGAAAAAATAGCCCCCATTATTCCCACCTCAGGACGCTGAAAAGCCGACAAGACGTATTACCAACGAAACTGCGACCCCAGGCCTTATCGTTCTTGTGGACGGACAACAAGTCAGAGCTTTAGTCGACACCGGGGCCGACTCTCTATTATTAGTGATGGCCTTGCCATACGGCTCAAGAAAGTAGAGACAGC